ATTACATAGTAACTTTAGGTTTTAATAACTTTTTAAATTTATAATAAAAATAAAAATCTATTCTAACAGAATTGTAGTTTAAACTAAAAGCAACAAATCTGTAAAACAGATTGTTTTAAAATTCATTTGTTTGCAAGTTATAAGCATTTTTATATTTATATATAAAAAGTGGATATTTCTTGCTGTCTGGTACTGTATATTGTTCATGTATATTTATAGCGTTTGTTAGTATGCAAGAAGTACAGTATATAAGTGGTAAAATACTAATATCTGATGCTGAAAGTAACCAGTGTGTAATCTGTATATTGTTTCTTGGTAGCTTGATTTTGAAAACTTTTTCTATAATTGGTGTATTTTAGAATTTTTCAAGTATCCAGCTTGTGTGTATTGGTATAATATTATTTGTAATAAATAGATTAGGGTTGACAGTTGGAATATATAGTATAGTAGATTCTAATAGTATATTGTGAAGCTCTATAAACCACTTAGATAGTCATTCTAGTATAATCTTTTGAGTTTTATAAAGTAGCTGATGTCAGGTGAGTAGCTCTGTATTTGTGTGATTGGTAAGTTGTTCAATTGTATATATGTTTACAAAGTTTGTAAAGATTTTGGTCCAGCTAGAGTTTTTGCAATACTGATTAATTTGTTAATTGTTGTGCCAGAGTATTTGGTAGATATCGATCAAGGATTAGGCAAATTTAGAATTACAAAGTTAAATTAATGAGCAGTATGGATTACTTGTACTGTAAGTATACTATCATATTTAGTAGATAGGATGAATTCTGGAGATTGTAGTATATTAGTTGGTGCTATAGAGACATTTTGCAAATATTGTAGGTATATTTTTATAGACAATATGGTGAGTGGGTTGTTAATTTGAGTATGTAGTGCAGATATATGGTTTTGCACTTGTATGTCGTTAAGTTGTTGAAGACCATATTTTTGATGGTGAAATATCGTTGCATTGGAAACATGAGTTGTGAGGCCTGCCTTATGTTTAACAACTTGTGTGTATTGGTTTGTAACTTTTGAGCATATACTTTGATGCATAAATGTATTAAGTGTTCTGTATAAAAATTGTGGGATGAGTACTGTATTAATAATGTATATAGCTTGCTTGTTGGTTATCTTTTCCCCTTAAACATAGGTTATAATAGAATTCTAAATCGTTTTCGAGTTATTAAAGAACTTAAAATAAATTTAAATAAATTTTAAATCAAGTATATTGCTTCGGAATTTGTCACTTTAAAATAAGATTATTCATGACGCTGCATATCGCAAATGAATTAAATTATGTAAATATTACACGGAGTTTTTACATTTATGATTACTAAATAAAAACTGCTACCATAAGCAAATTCTTTTTTTTTATATTAATAATATTTATCGTACGTATTTTTTTTTTTGCAATTACATTTAACATTATTTACTTGCAGTGAGGATTGTATAATAGATGCTTCTCGCATGTTTGTGAACGTTGAAGGAATATTATTCAATTTAGGAACTTGATGAACATAATGGACATAAGTGGTTGGATTTTAGTAATAGGGTTTGTGGTTTGGTGTTTCAAGATCGTAAAAAATGTATTTTTTGCCCAATAATAATCTTTTTACGGAAATCAAAGTCTTCACGTGCAATAATGGTTTAACATTACCTATTAGCGATTGGTTGCTAAGATATTTAAAAAACAATTCATAAATGTATTAGAAGGTCACCAGTCAGAGAGAGTTGTAAAGAATGAAAAAAAATAATGTAATGAAAATTGTCTTATGTCAATCAATTATACATTTATTACCTGACAGAATTTAGAGTCAACTCAAGATTCATTTAGATTTCGTATTAACTTGGGTTAGATTTGGAATTTCGCTTCAACTTAGGTAGATTCTAAATCTATAATCGTTCTGTTCAGATGTACGACATAAATAATTGTAATAATTGATAAAGTATTGCCTCTAAGTAAGCCGAGAGTATGATCATTTTGTGATTATTTTACAGTGAATATTGAAGCTTCAGTGGTAATTTTTAATGATCGAAACATTATGTTCTCAAAAATTACTTTTAAATATATGTAAGTGGATAAAGCAGACGAAGATATTAGTGAAAGTTTAAATCATTCAGAGAGTGAAGATTGTGTTTTAGGAGTCACTTTCAAAAAACATGTAGCCAAATGTAGGAAAAAAAATAAGCTTCTATAAAGCTTTTTTTATTTTATAATTATAATAGTTTCACCTATCGTCAAAGTTTCATCAGACATTATCGTTGATGAAACCATTTTGCGATTGTCAAAAAGATTTCGTCAAATATCATTAGTCTCTCATCATCTATTCCAATCCTTCATTGCGCTCTTCCAATCCTTCATTGCACTCTTTCCAAATATTTTCATTGCGCCCTTTCCAAATATTTTCATTACTCTTGCAATTTTTCATTTTGCCCCTTCCCATCATTTCATTACTCCTTACAATCTTTTCATTTTGCCCCTTCCCATCATATTGCGCACCTAATGAATGCTTAACGAAAAATATGACGAATGGCAAAACATACGACGATTGATAAAGCATATGATTATAATTATTTTCATTTATAACAAGGGAACACGGTTCATTTTGACTATTTTGATTTCATGCTATACTTGCAGCAGATGCGACAACATCATATATTTTTTTTACTACAAACTAGGAAAAAAATTTTCGCCTTCAATAAAGTGCTCTTGACCCCAAATAAAGTTTCCTATATTAAATCGCAAATATTGTAAACACGAATCTATTACTAAATATAGGGGTCGTTTAAAGTCTGGCACCTTACGAAAGTACCCGATATATAACCCGGATCAGTCCGAACAAAACAAAGCGAAACGGCAAAAACAAAAACACGAAATATATAAAAAACAGCTATCTGAACAGATCTTGGTTCACTAAGTAAAAGTGTCAGAAATGCGATTTTACTATATGTAAATACCTTCTATCAAATCCTAACACTAACCCTAATATTAATTAATTAAAAATCGGAAAAATCGGGTAATTTCGTAAGGTGCCAGGCTTTAAACGACCCCTAAATATAGTATTAGATCTTCGTTTGCGTTTTTGTCTTGTTTACATGAAATATATTAGGAATTGGAAGTAGAAGACTAAAAACTTAGAACTTAAGAGAATTCATCCGGTTTGCATAACCTACCTAATTCGACTAGGTCTTATTGTAGGTTACACGAAGTTCTTAACTCACCGTTTAGAGAATTCACTATGCATTTTTATTGAAAAGAAGATTTCAATAAATCAAAATTTGATTTTATTACAAGCTAAAAGGACGAATAATGGATGACCTTAAATAATTGCATATCAGCTTACCTTAATCCCTAAGAGAATTTTACGCGTTGACTTTAGCAAGTTTTTTTCAAGTTCTAAAAAAGGTTCTGGGAAAATATCCAGATTCATGTTTATTCCATTTGTGCGCCAGGTTGAACAAATTATTTGAAAAATAAGACCTTGGAAGGCTGGGACGAGGCTGCAGCCAAGCCTGTATTATAAATAAAAATATTATAAATAAATATTATAAATAAATATTATAAATAAAGTTAATACAGTGTGTAATTCTGGTTGTAAAGATGAAGTTATATGGTAAACATAATAAGAAGCATTTCTTTAACAATTAGAAATATAAAATTGCCAAAACGCTTTAAAATATAATTATTAGAACAAGTCGACAATAATTATATACACATCAAGGCAATGATAATATTTATGGCTTAAAGAATTAACATATAAAATAATTCCGAAAACATGACTTGAGATGTAAATATAGCTAACTATATCAATATTTACACAAATTGGAACATTTGACATTTTTTGTCAGGGCTAAGTATCATATCAATATATTTATCAAATAAACAATGCATGATTTGTTTTCAAAAGATTGAATAATAAATTTGAACTACGATATTAAATTTACACTTTTCAAAAAGAATCATCGTTCATTCCGTTTATTGTTACGTGCTTAAATGAATTCATCAAAATCCGAAGAACTGCTAATAGAAGTTGATAAAACTCCTCACAATGAAAGTCCGCATGGAGGGAAGAAAATAAGTGAATATGTTGTTTCATCAAATATGCAATATATTGCGACCTGGAGTGAAGAAGATCAATCAATTGTTGGGTGGACCATTACAAAAGAATTAAAACCTAAATTTGACAATTCAATAAAAGCCGAAGAATTCAAAATTGCGTTAAACACTGAACTTTATGCCTAAAGATATGATATACCGGTTAGAAGGAGTCTCAAACTGTAAACAAATTATACTAGGGATGAGACGTAAATATATTGAGGCACATACATGTCAGTTTGGTTAGTTAAGATTAAATAATCACTGATGTTTCAATTATAATTTATACTAACAAATTAATTTTAAAGAAATTATTGACATTACAACTAAAACAAGACAATTATTAAATGCGCAAGTATTAAAAGACTATACATACAGTATTGGCTTTCTTGAAAATGGAGATGTGGAAGATTTGGTAATTTGCCAAGCGCACCGTGTTTATATCTTTTCAAAATCAAAGTCTAATGACAAATATCAATGGAAATACAAGAATCGTAGCATTGAATTTAAACAATGTGAATTTTTCCCTATGTTCAAAAACGGAAGATTGTTAGTTATTTCTGAAACGCCCTTTTTAGCTATGCAATGGAATCTAAAAACTCAAGAGCTTGAAATGCAATATATATTAGATTTAATAGATGGTTTACGATTGTTGGACATGAATAGTGATAATACATTGTTGGCAGTAGCGTGTCGTCCTAATTTTGACGAATTCGCAATCTATGTTTATTCGACAAGATCTGGTATAATGATGGCAAATGGTGTGCATTTTATTTATAATGTTACTGTAAATACATGATAAATAATAAGATTATTAACTTTATGTAATAATTAAGGTTCGTTTAAAGGTTCTGGGATTTTGGATTTTTGTTTTATTGGATCAAGGGAAGAAGAACGATTATTTCTCTATGTCGAAAACAATGTTTTGGAAAGTTGTAGCTCTTATATAATGAATCCTCACACTCAAGAATTGAAATCTCCAAACACTGATGCTTTACATGATATTTATCCTCCAACATTCGAAAAATATAGAGAATATCAAAGTAAAATTATCGCTGATTTGATCATAAAACTTGATAATTAAAATAATTTATCTATTCAAAAATTGTCACAAAATGAAAGTTGGAAAAATCATTTAAAGTGCTGCAAAGAATGTTATGCGAGTGATACATTTTTTAACATAAAAGAAATCAAGCAATTTATGCAGAATACTTTAGAAAAGTGTGTATCAAATCAAATATTAACTCGGAGTTATTCAGATGAGCCTGAAAAACTCAATGGAAAGCCGTACACCTGGATTATCAATACCATCAATCATGATACTTATCATAAAACAGATTTAAAAGCCCATATTGCCCATATTGATGATAAGGCATCAACTTATGAACGATATTTTATTGCAGAGACTGACAATAAAGATGGATATATTTTAGAAAATAAGGTACTCGAAAATGGAGATTTGTTATTGATTTGCTCTGGAGGCATACGAATTTATACGGTAAATACTGAAAGTAAAATTAATTTAATTTATTTATGGGGTCATAGAAATAAGAAAAAAACTGAAACTGCTCGACAATCCATGAAAAAACATATTACTTCTTTTATTGTTAATATTGATCAATCTAATTCAGAATTTTTACCGCCACCAACATTTGGCGTGGATAGAATAGATGATTTTATAAATAATGAATCAGCAATAAAATTCTACGGTAAAGATATATTTCAATATTTAGTCCGAGATAATATTTATAAAAGAGATGAAAAAATTGAGAAATTACTTAATAATTGTTACGAACATAGCTTATCAAGATTTAAAAATGGGGACATTTCTTATTCTATGTTGTTTATTACTCAAATTGCTTTTGCACTAGTAAAATTAGATAAGTATAACAAAAATTGGAGAGTTACTGAAAAATTTTTATCAAAAATTAATTTACTGGTTCCTGATACCTATTATAAGTTTATAAAAAATAAGTCTCGATTATTTCATTTTCAACATTGTGGAAATTATGTTGATTCACCTCTATTTATTATTTTACCATTTGATCGCTTGTTTTTTTGGATCACTGAAAAGTTAAACTTTTTAAAAAAAAATTATTCTAAAGTTTATGAAAGTTTGGTATTTCCTTTTTCACTTTATTCAACTTATTTTACAAAGTATCCTGAAAAAACTGTAAAATTAATGTTTCCTTTACTAAATTTTGCTACATATCCCAAAAATTATTCTTTTCTTGAATTAATTTATATACATGATAATGCCTTTACTTAGTACCCTAGCCATGGCGAAGAAAATTCGGGTCACGTGGCGATGATCATCCGATTTATCCAATCAAATTTATTAATG